AAAAAAGAGACATTTGTGGAAATCAGGGTCTTAGTCTTTTTTGCAGTTTTCACTAAAGCTTAACACATTAGGAAAACGTAAGTGCTATATGTAAGTTATTAGAAATGCAGTATACTGTACTGGTGTAATACATTATACCATGAAATGTATACATTATGTTTATGTGGATATCCAATAAAGAAGAAATTCTGGCACACAGAGGTGAGGTTATTCCAAAATAATACAGTACGGATTATGAACTGAATGTCAGATGCTGGCAAGGCAAATGATTTATGTATATGTGACTTTTAAACTTATAACTCCGTGCTGAAAACAGACACTGGTTAGATATGAATAAACACTGTTAAAATAAATCATATAATGTCCATAGACATAACCAAGTCTTTGAAAAGTCTCTATGACACTAAGGCCCTGATTTACTAATGTGCCTAGGCCAGGGGCGGACTGACAACTCATGGGCCCTCGGGCAATAGGAGATCATGGGGCCCCTGTGTCCTTGCCCAAACTCAAAAAAGCCTATCAAAAAGGTACCAGGGGCATCTCATGGGGCCCCCTACTGACCCCGGGCCCTAGGGCAGTGCCCGAGTTTCCAAATGGTCAGTCCACCCCTGGCCTAGGCGCATTTCCGTGGGCTAACCTCTACTTTTTAATAGTGACCGTCTACTTTTAGATGGCAAAGACATTTACTAAGAAAGTGTCAACAAGTAGATGCGAAATCTAATTTACTAATCAGGCACAATCCAGGAATCAGTCTAAGAAAGCAGATGTGCTAAGAAGCATGTCTAACACAACGAAAAATCACTACAGAGACATGTTCACATTGAAATTTGCTTTCACAAATATCAGGACTTCACTTTAAAAAACTATTTTTTACACATTTAAATTTTTTTTTGAAATGTAAGATATTGTTTAAAGGAATTCATGACAGTCAAGAACTAGATGCATTTCCAGCATCTATGCACGGATATAAATGCGCATGTGCAGAACACATTTTAGCCGTCTGCCGTGGGCGCTTTCTTTTTAGACGCTGTTTAATAGTAAATGTCTGTGTGGAGTCCACTGACAGACGGCACTCGATCGCATCTACTGTGTTTAACAAACAGCACGATTTGTAGCTAGGCATATCTTTTGTATTATTCTAATTTCCTTAGTTCTATTGATTCTGTTTTTGTTTCTTATCCTTTATAATTATTTCTGTAATGATTTTACATATTTTTAAGGTCTAGATCAGGGGTGGGCAAACTTTTTGACTTGAGGGTCGCAATGGGTTCATATATTGGGGCCGGACCAAGAGTAGATGAATGATGTGTATGTGTCATCCATAGTAAGTATAGTATATTCCCCCATAGTAAGCATAGTAATTAATCCCCCATATAGTAATTCATCCCCCATAGTAATTAATCCCCCATATAGTAATTCATCCCCCATAGTAATTCATCCCCCATATAGTAATTCATCCCCCATAGTAATTCATCCCCCATATAGTAATTAAATCCCCCATACAGTAATTAATCCCCCATACAGTAATTCATCCCCCATAGTAATTCCTCCCCCATAGTAATTAATCCCCCATATAGTAATTCATCCCCCATAGTAATTCATCCCTCATATAGTAATTCATCCCCCATATAGTAATTCATCCCCCATAGTAATTCATCCCCCATAGTAATTCATCCCCCATAGTAATTCATCCCCCATATAGTAATTCATCCCCCATATACTAATTCATCCCCCATAGTAATTCATCCCCCATATAGTAATTCATCCCCCATATAGTAATTCATCCCCCATATAGTAATTCATCCCCCATAGTAATTCATCCCCCATATAGTAACTCATCCCCCACCCATATAGTAACTCATCCCCCACCCATATAGTAATTCATCCCCCACCCATATAGTAATTCATCCCCCCTATAGTAATTCATCCCCCATAGTAATTCATCCCCCATATAGTAATTCATCCCCCATAGTAATTCATCCCCCATATAGTAATTCATCCCCCATATAGTAATTCATTCCCCATATTAATTCATCCCTCATATTAAGTCCCCAAGTCCCCCCTGTGTCAATTCACTTACCTTTGCTCCGCGCGTTCCTCTCGCCGTGTTCCCGCGCCGTTCCGGTGTAGCATGAAAATCTGTCTCCTATGAGGATCTGTCCCCCTCGACGTATCTGCGCATGTGCCAGTTTCAGGCATTAGCAGCCGATCGGCGATCTCCGGCACATGCGCAGATACGTCGAGGGGGACAGATCCTCATAGGAGACAGATTTTCATGCTACACCGGTCTTCAGAGCAGACTGTGAGAGGAGCCTAGCAGGAGCCTAGCTCCGCGGGCCGGATTAAAAGGTCCGCTGGGCCGTATACGGCCCACGGGCCGTAGTTTGCCCATTGCTGGTCTAGATAATACATATTTTGACAGCTGAATCTAAAAATAAAGGTCATCAATTAAAACAAATGTTAAAAAAATGGTGTGGGGTCCCCCTCTCATCCATACCAAGCCCTTCGGGTCTGCTATGGATCTTAAGGGGTAACCCCACGCCAAAATAAAAAAAATGGCGTGGGGTCCCTGCCAAAATCCATACCAGACCCAGGGACATCATCTGAGTGACCACGCCCCATGTGACATCAATGATGTCACATGGGGCGGGGTCACATGCGTGATTTCCCCGGGTGGCCCTGCCCCTTACATATTTAAGGGCTGTCAACCAAGCTCACAGCAGAAGGCTGAGAAGCCATCGAAAACGGAACCATCAGGAAATAAACACTAAAAAAATGGTGTGGGGTCCCCCCTCCCATCCATAACAAGCCCTTTGGGTCTGGTATGAATCTTAAGGGGTAACCCCACACAAAAAAAAAAAAAAGGTGTGGGGTCCCCCCCAAAAACCCATACCAGACCCCTTAAAAAAAAAAAAAAAAATAATGGCATGGAGTCCCCCTCCAAATCCATAACAGACCCTTATCCGAGCATGCAGATACCGCATGCCTTCAAAGATTTATTTCCTTTGTTGAATTGCCTGCTTGGCTCACACTAGATGCGATTTAAAATTGTGCTTTTTGTTGGCAATTTCACCGTGTTTTCTGTAGATATACCAATGAGTTATTGCGTTTTCAATTGTGTTTTGCATTGCGATTTCTATTGTAGTCTATATGTGAAATCGCTACAAAATGCAGAAAAAGTTAGACAAGAACTACTTTTGAAATTGTGCTGCAGCAAACCGCTTATGTTAAGACATTCACATCCGCATTCATTAGATCCAATATCAGGTACAATTTCAATTCCCAAATCGCACCTGAAATTGCGCACAATGGATGCGACTTGGCATGCGATTTGCATGCCCTGCGACTTGCAAATTGCATGCCAAATTGCACCTGATATGACCGGGGGCTAACACCACAGTCACATCTAATCCGATTTGGAAATTGGGCAACTTACAGTGAAGTGGCACAATTTCAAAATCAGATTGGATGTGAATGGAGCCATAGTGGACAATAGGGTGTGACTTGGCGTACAATTTGCAAGTCGCCTGGCATGCAAATCGCATGCCAAATTGCCCCCGATGTGACTGGGGGCCACCCCGGTCACATCAAAGCGAATTTTGAAGTGGGTGCGACTTTCTTCATTACTTTAGAAATTGTTGCGGCTCCAACCAAGTTTGAACCACACCAATATGAACATCCCAATAGCGGTCACATTGAGTGAGACTTGGCATGTGATTTGCATGACATGCGACTTGCAAATCGTATGCCAAGTCGCACCCTATTGTCTGCTATTAGAGTGGTCACATGGATGCTTTTCCGACACTGATTTCTAAAGTAGTACATGTACTACTTTTGTGGCGATTTACATAGATATATGTGTCAGATGTCTTGCAAATCGCAAGGAAATCGGCATCTTCACTGTAAGTTTCACGATTTCTAAATCTGCTTTGATGTGACCAGGTGTAAGGCCTTTTTATGTTTAATTTCCTGAGTGTTTTTCTGATTTATGGGAAATCCCTCATACTAGCAAAAGTGAATTGACATTTTCAGTATTGCATGCGAGATGTGGTCATGTGACTGCCTTAACTCATGCAATAATCTGGAGTGAATTGTGCCCATAGTGCCAATAAATATTGCCATGGGGTTCCCCTTCACATCCCTGTTCAAAGTTCTGTTGTATGCTGCACAGGTACACTTCACTGTGGATTTCTTTCTGACTCTGATTTGTGGGGCCTGTATACCAAGTGTCAGGGCTCCCAGGTATGACCAGAGGTGTGTGACTGAAGCAGGGAAACGCAGACCTCAGATATGGTATAAACAATATAATTTATTAACACTAACAGTACAAACATAAACGCAGTGCAATACTAAAACATAATACAGTGCAAACAAACCAAACCAAACCACCCACAGATAACAGTATATACAAGCAAGCGTCGTCAGGCAGGCCGGGTCAATATCAATTGGGCAGGTAGGTACAGGGGGAGCAAGCGGGAGAATGGTCGGGGTCACAGGCCAGGTTCAGCAGGTAGCAAGCAGCATAGTACAGAGGGTCAGGCAGAGGGATGGTCCGGGTCACAAGCCAGGGATCAGAACAGGTAGCAAGCAGCGTAGTACAGAGGGTCAGACAGAGGGATGGTCAGGGTCACAAGCCAGGATCAGAGCAGGAGAAGTCAGCAAAGGAACAGAAACAGGATGCAGGACAGATACAGGGCCCAGGACAAACACAACACCAAGGCAGAGTCTGCAAGTCTGGCCATCCCTTAAATACACCAGCAGTATCATCAGTTCCAGGTGTTAGCTGGCTGAAAGGTTGAGTCTCTGATTGCTGGGAGCACCCGCTGGCCAGCCCTGGTACTGCAGATCAAAAGGCAGGTGAGTCCCACCATTGCTGGCCAGTCCATTCCTAACAGTACCCCCCCCTCAAGGAGCGGCCTCAGGACGCTCCAAACAGTCCTAGCTGGGCAAAATGTTCCACCGCCCGGGTCTGGCAACTGGCGGGATATCAAAGACTGGCACACCGGGCAGGACTCCGGGCAGCGGCACACCGGGCTGGACTCCGGGCAGAGGCACATCGAGCAGAGGCACATCGAGCAGGCACACCGGGCAGAGGCACACCGGGCAGAGGCACATCGGGCAGAACTCTGGGCAGAGGCACATCGGGCAGGACTCCGGGCAGAGGCACATCGGGCAGGACTCCGGGCAGAGGCACACCGGGCAGAGGCACATCAGGCAGGACTCCAGGCAGAGGCACATCGGGCAGGATTCGGGCAGAGGCACATCGGGCAGGATTCCGGGCAGAGGCACATCGGATTACCAGGCGAAGCAGCAGGCAGCGGGCCACCAGGCGGAGCAGCAGGCGCCGGACCCCCAGGTGGAGCGACAGGTCTCGGGCCCTCAGGCGGAGCGGCAGGCACCGGGCCCCCGGGCGGAGCAGCAGGCACCGGGCCCCCGGGCGGAGCAGCAGGCACCGGGCCCCCGGGCGGAGCAGCAGGCAGCGGGCCCCCAGGCGGGGCGACAGGCACCGGGCCCCCAGGCGGGGCGACAGGCACCAGGCCCCAGGCGGGGCGACAGGCACCGGGCCCCCAGGCGGGGCGACAGGCACCGGGCCCCCAGGCGGGGCGACAGGCACCGTGCCCCCAGGCGGGGCGACAGGCATCGTGCCCCCAGGCGGAGCGGCGGGCGCCGGACCCCCAGGCGGAGCGACAGGTCTCGGGCCCTCAGGCGGAGCGGCGGGCGCCGGACCCCCAGGTGGAGCGACAGGTCTCGGGCCCTCAGGCGGAGCGGCAGGCACCGGGCCCCCGGGCGGATCAGCAGGCACCGGGCCCCCGGGCGGGGCTACAGGCACCGGGCCCCCGGGCGGGGCAGCAGGCACCGGGCCCCCGGGCGGGGCGACAGGCACCGGGCCCCCGGGCGGGGCGACAGGCACCGGGCCCCCGGGCGGAGCAGCAGGCAGGCACCGGGCCCCCGGGCGGAGCAGCAGGCACCGGGCCCCCGGGCGGAGCAGCGGGCCCCCGGGCGGAGCAGCAGGGCACCGGGCCCCCGGGCGGAGCAGCAGGCAGCGGGGCCCCAGGCGGGGCGACAGGCACCGGGCCCCCAGGAGGGGCGACAGGCACCAGGCCCCCAGGCGGGGCGACAGGCACCGGGCCCCCAGGCGGGGCGACAGGCACCGGGCCCCCAGGCGGGGCGACAGGCACCGTGCCCCCAGGCGGGGCGACAGGCATTGTGCCCCCAGGCGGAGCGGCGGGCGCCGGACCCCCAGGCGGAGCGACAGGTCTCGGGCCCTCAGGCGGAGCGGCGGGGCGCCGGACCCCCAGGTGGAGCGACAGGTCTCGGGCCCTCAGGCGGAGCGGCAGGCGCCGGACCCCCAGGCGGAGCGACAGGTCTCGGGCCCTCAGGCGGAGCGGCAGGCGCCGGACCCCCAGGAGGAGCGATAGGTCTCGGGCCCTCAGGCGGAGCGGCGGGCGCCGGACCCCCAGGAGGAGCAACAGGTCTCGGGCCCTCAGGCGGAGCGGCAGGCGCCGGACCCCCAGGCGGAGCGACAGGTCTCGGCCCTCAGGCGGAGCGGCGGGCGCCGGACCCCCAGGAGGAGCGACAGGTCTCGGGCCCTCAGGCGGAGCGGCGGGCGCCGGACCCCCAGATGGAGCGACAGGTCTCGGGCCCTCAGGCGGAGCGGCGGGCGCCGGACCCCCAGGTGGAGCGACAGGTCTCGGGCCCTCAGGCGGAGCGGCGGGCGCCGGACCCCCAGGAGGAGCGACAGGTCTTGGGCCCTCAAGCGGAGTGAGTGGCAGGTGCCGGACCCCCAGGCGGAGCGACAGGTCTCGGGCCCTCAGGCGGAGCGACAGGTCTCGGGCCCCCAGGCGGGGCGGCGGCGGGCGCTGGACCCCCAAGCGGAGCAACAGGTCTCGGGCCCCCAGGCGGAGCGACGGGCACCGAGACACCAGGCACGACAGTGGGCTCCGAGTCAACTGGTATGACCGCAGGCACTGGGTCAGACATTGGATGGTCTGGCTGGACAGCGGGCATCGGGTCACCAGGCATCAGGTCATTTGGCTCGACAGCGGGCACCGCGTCATCTGGCAAGGCAGGCAGTGGGCTCCGAGTCAACTGGCATGACCGCGGGCACCGGGGCAGACATTGAATCGTCTGGCTGGACAGCAGGCATCGGGTCACCAGGCATCAGGTCATTTGGCTCGACCGCGGGCACCGCGTCATCTGGCAAGGCAGTGGGCTCCGAGTCAACTGGTATGACCGCGGGCACTGGGTTAGACATTGGATCGTCTGACTGGACAGCGGGCATCGGGTCACCAGGCATCAAGTCATTTGGCTCGACAGCGAGCACCGCGTCATCTGGCAAGGCAGTGGGCTCCGAGTCAACTGGCATGACCGCGGGCACCGGGGCAGACATTGAATCGTCTGGCTGGACAGCGGGCATCGGGTCACCAGGCATCAGGTCATTTGGCTCGACAGCGGGCACCGCGTCATCTGGCAAGGCAGTGGTCTCCGAGTCAACAGGCACGACAGTGGGCACCGGGTCATCAGGTACCGGATTGTCTGGCTCGACAGCGGGCATCGGGTCATCAGGTATGACAGCGGACACTAGGTCACCAGGCATCAGGTCATTTGGCTTGCCAGCGGGCACCGCGTCATCTGGCAAGGCAGTGGGCACCGAGACACCAGGCACGACAGTGGGCTCCGAGTCAACTGGTATGACCGCAGGCACTGGGTCAGACATTGGATGGTCTGGCTGGACAGCGGGCATCGGGTCACCAGGCATCAGGTCATTTGGCTCGACAGCGGGCACTGCGTCATCTGGCAAGGCAGTGGGCTCCGAGTCAACTGGCATGACCGCGGGCACCGGGGCAGACATTGAATCGTCTGGCTGGACAGCGGGCATCGGGTCACCAGGCATCAGGTCATTTGGCTCGACCGCGGGGCACCGCGTCATCTGGCAAGGCAGTGGGCTCCGAGTCAACTGGTATGACCGCGGGCACTGGGTTAGACATTGGATCGTCTGACTGGACAGCGGGCATCGGGTCACCAGGCATCAAGTCATTTGGCTCGACAGCGAGCACCGCGTCATCTGGCAAGGCAGTGGGCTCCGAGTCAACTGGCATGACCGCGGGCACCGGGGCAGACATTGAATCGTCTGGCTGGACAGCGGGCATCGGGTCACCAGGCATCAGGTCATTTGGCTCGACAGCGGGCACCGCGTCATCTGGCAAGGCAGTGGTCTCCGAGTCAACAGGCACGACAGTGGGCACCGGGTCATCAGGTACCGGATTGTCTGGCTCGACAGCGGGCATCGGGTCATCAGGTATGACAGCGGACACTAGGTCACCAGGCATCAGGTCATTTGGCTTGCCAGCGGGCACCGCGTCATCTGGCAAGGCAGTGGGCACCGAGTCACCAGGTACGACAGCGGGCTCTGAGTCAATTGGTACGACAGTGGGCACCGGATCAGGTACCGGATCATCTGGATCAACAGCGGGCATCGAGTCAACTGGCCTAATAGGATCGTCAGGCTGGATCAGTTCATCATGCTGGGTAGAGGCATTAGGCCGAGTAGAGGCATCAGGCTGAGTGAGAGTAGAGTAGGCATCAGGCTGAAGAGAGGCATCAGGCCGAGTACAGGCATCAGGCCGAGTACAGGCTTCAGGCCGAGTAGAGGCTTCAGGCCGAGTAGAGGCTTCAGGCTGAGGAGAGGCTTCAGGCCGCGTAGAGGCTTCAGGCCACGTAGAGGCTTCAGGCCGAGTAGAGGCATCAGGCCGAGTAGAGGCTTCAGGCCGAGTACAGGCATCAGGCCGAGTACAGGCATCAGGCCGAGTAGAGGCTTCAGGCCGAGTACAGGCATCAGTCTGAACCACGGAAGGCAGGCTCACCGGTTTGGATACTGGCAGGATGGTATTGGTTGGAAAGAATTTTCGCTTTTTTCTGGTTTTAACTACTGGAGCACTGCAAGTAAACGCAGGTCTGCAAACGAATGGAGCAGCTGGAGACAGAGAAGAACTGGAGGATGGAACAGGAGAGGGAGCAGTTGCTACAGAGGGCTTTTTTACAGGGTTAAAGGCAGGATAGGTGCAGCGAGTGGGAACAGGGTACTGACATGCGGTAGATAGCCAAGTATACTGGGCTGTAACTGGAGGAGCTGGTGGGAATACAGGAGTAGAGTTAGAAGCAGGACTGGGTCTTTGTAAGCTGACTGAGGCTGGGTGCAACAAATCTGTCCATGTCTGCAGTAGGGGTTGAACAAAGCTGAGCTTACACAAAGTCTGTCTGGTCAATGACTGCACTGCGTTTATACAATCTCTCAGTGTCTGTGGTGAACATGTGGAATAACGCTCCAGAAAGTAACCCACATCATCCTCTAATAACCACACCAGGGACTCTACCTGGTCTGCACTAAATGGTGGCAAAAAAATTCATCCCTGCATTCGGGGGAACCAGATGAAACCAACTCTGCACAAACCTCAATCAATGGCTGCACCTCAAAGAACACTGTGCCCTGATCTACTAGAACATGAGCGAGCCGTATACATTCTAGCAATTCATCCCGGGTATACTCCTTCAGAGTTTGATAAGCATACTCCCTGTCATCAAACACTAGCAGATATAAATACTCAACCTCCTCAAGATCCATCCTTCCCATCAACAAGCCAAGATGGCTTCCCTGTGCAGCCACTTCTGGTCAGGATTGGCCTTGGTGTAATGTCAGGGCTCCCAGGTATGACCAGAGGTGTGTGTGACTGAAGCAGGGAAACGCAGACCTCAGATATGTTATAAACAATATAATTTATTAACACTAACAGTACAAACATAAACGCAGTGCAATACTAAAACATAATACGGTGCAAACAAACCAAACCAAACCACCCACAGATAACAGTATATACAAGCAAGCGTCGTCAGGCAGGCCGGGTCAATATCAATTGGGCAGGTAGGTACAGGGGAGCAAGCGGAGAATGGTCGGGGTCACAGGCCAGGTTCAGCAGGTAGCAAGCAGCATAGTACAGAGGGTCAGGCAGAGGGATGGTCGGGTCACAAGCCAGGGATCAGAACAGGTAGCAAGCAGCGTAGTACAGAGGGTCAGACAGAGGGATGGTCAGGGTCACAAGCCAGGATCAGAGCAGGAGAAGTCAGCAAAGGAACAGAAACAGGATGCAGGACAGATACAGGGCCCAGGACAAAACAACACCAAGGCAGAGTCTGCAAGTCTGGCCATCCCTTAAATACACCAGTATCATCAGTTCCAGGTGTTAGCTGGCTGAAAGGTTGAGTCTCTGATTGCTGGGAGCACCCGCTGGCCAGCCCTGGTACTGCAGATCAAAAGGCAGGTGAGTCCCACCATTGCTGGCCAGTCCATTCCTAACACCAAGAGTTAATGCAGGTGGGAAGAGGATTCATCAGGTGCAAACACATTCTCTGACCAAATGAATGACAATGGTGGGTGTGGCCTATGTTATATAAAGCCTTGCAGTAGTGGATAATTTCTCCTTGGAAGAGGCCAGATTATTTTCAGCAAGTCATTGCCTGTGGTGGTTAGGGGGAGGAAGAGATATTGTGGTGAATCGCCCCAGACCACACTCACACTGTGTTTTGGTGTGGGCTGTAAATGTTTTGCATTTTTTTTCCTTCTAAGGTGTGTTTGTGTGTTATTGTAGAATGATTGTGTGTTTATTATCTTTGCATTGTAATCCTAACACATGTCAATTACTCTGCTCTTCCAAATCTGCACTTGGCTATAGTTT